AGGATACTTAATTGCCTAATATGAAAAGGACAAAATATTTTTTAACAATCTAACAGCTGGCAAAAGTAAATCCATCTACCTATTTAAGGGATCAACTTATAGTGGTAATGCTTAGTATTTGTATGAATTAATCAGTACCTTTCACCCTATATTACATCATTGGACCCAAGATTTAACTGGCTACTGACTGTTACAATTTTAGTGTAGTGTCAACTATACAACAGCAAAAATCTTGAAATGTTAGTTATCAATTATGAGAACTGATTTAAGACGATGATGTTATTAATAATTTCAATAATATTCGGCACTTCCCTGAAAACTTAACAAATTTACGAACAAATACTAAGCAAAACCGGAAATGTGTAAGTAAGTAACCGGATGTTTAAAGCTCCGACGGACTTTTATTTAAGAGGACTTCGTAAAAGCTTAATTGATATAAACTTTCTCCGCCGGATCACTTTCTTGTACAAAATCGTTCCACAAAAGAGCTTTTAACTCTAACAGGATCACAACTTTGGTGGTTTACAGATATGCCGTGTGATTTTGCGTTTGTGCCGATCTCGTTTTTTGACGCAAGGAAGTGCATAGTCAGTTTCAGCTATTACAGGCTGTCATTTGCTGGCTGTCAAATACCGCAATATTATGCGGTACCATCCGAATGGCCTTACTTACACCAACTGGGTAGATTGGGTATATCACGCGCAGAGCTCGTTAAACATGCGTCTGTCTGTTCTGTATCTGCCCTGGTAAAAAGATCTTTTATTAACCGAAAAAAAAAACAAATGAAAGGAGGTTCTCTATTCTTCCCGAACTATTTTACCAAAGTAAAGAATCGAATAATAAAATTTACCTTGGCTATCTTTCCTTTATCACTTTTCATTGCATAATTTTGCACAAGAATCTGATATCGCTACCGCAAATCTTGCAGCACGTGTGAAATCCATCTGCCAGGCTCACAAGTTTGAACAGGCGGCAACTTCAAACACGCCACGTCCCAAATTAATTAAAACTTAATTTACTAAATTTGTAAAGCGCGAATTGCTCCATTTATTTACATAAACCGTGTTTTTCGTACGGACTCGGGCCCGGTTTGCCACGAAATCCTTTATTCGTACAATAAGTTCTTGTTTGTCGTGCCTGCGAAATGAAAAGTACAAATTACACGTATAATCAAACGTAGGTTACGTAGGTATCGAATGCTTTGTTAGCAATTATTAAAGTTGTGGCGATTGTATAAGACTTGTACTTACTATCTAAGATTATAGCGAGCCGGGACAAAGCTTTTTGAAAATAATAGTTATTTAACAAACAGGGAGGAAACTGAAAGCAGATGACAATGGAGGGTATCTAAACGCGTCAATCCAAGTCACCGAACTTCTACATTGACTCAATTCACAATTCTAACCATCATAATCTGCTAGTCCTTATTTGGGTTTAGCGCAACATATTTTGTAAGAGAACAAAATCATGTAGCAAAAGTATCCATTATTATTATAAGTATCCATCCATTTACCTAAGATACAGGAATTCTCATTCTTAGTTTAGGAAATGGGCAACTCTCAAAACTATTTTATATAAGTTTACCTATTTGTAATTAAGTTTATTAATAAAGAAATTATCTTATCTTATCTTATTTAGCACAATTTTAACAAATTATAGAAAAAAGGCACAGTCGAGAGTGGCACAATTAAAATTGCCCAGTTTGCTACCCCATTAGGACACGTTTTGAAGCGAAGAGGGCCTCACCATCGTGTTGCTCGTATGGTGTTTTATTCGCGCCGGAAATACGTTTTATCTATCTATTATCTCATTTGAGGGTATTTTAGTGTTGTGTGTTATCTGTGGGGTTAATTATGTGTCGTTACGGTGATCAAGGTTTTTGTGGTGCGGCGCGGAACGGTTCAGCTGTTTGATAAACATCTGGGAGCTATTGAAGGCTTGTGTGACAGCAGGTACTATGAGAGATCAAGATACTCTGGTTCTTTAAACCGATATTAGTAATAACCAGTTTACAGGTGCTAGTTGAAAGTAATTTTAGGGTCACATTTGATTACGATATGGTGATATTTGACAATTGTTTATTGTATACAAAAGAAATTCTGATTAAAATGTGAATATAGAGCTTAATAACATTCAAACATTGGTTAATTTATTTTGAAATATCGTAAACATGTCCCACAGACAATAAGCCAGATTTAAAACAAAAGATAAGCAATTTCGAACAAGACCGTTTCAATGTTCAAAAAGAGAACATCAAACATGCATTCTCCGAGTTCCACATTTAAATTTCAAATGTTTCCGGCCGTTCTGTATCCTAGCGCCGCAAGTGAAGCCACAGTAGAAAGTAAGAATGAGTCAAATGTCTTCATACAATCAGTAAACGCCCTTAGGCAAGGCGAAAAGGTTGGTGCTCTTATGTGAGTGTTCACCTTTCTTTACCTACTTCATAATTTGCAAAACAGCATCTTTCCTAGGAACATGGTACCAGAACAAATTAAGCTGTTTACTCTACCGAAAACGCACAACGAAGAGTTAAAATGGGTACCATACATTTTTAAATTAACTGTGGGTATCTAATGAAAATATCACCTGCATCAAATCACAATTTAATTTTTCTGCCAGCTTGCAGCTCTCCGTGTAGCTGTTCGTCATACCTAATACTTTCGTGACTATTCTTTTCCCCTGTCTATAGCCTCCACCGTCTACCTATTCTATAGCATCGCGCGCGAGTGATTTTGGCAAAATGTGTGGCTTGTTGTTATCCTTTACTGTGACTAAACTCAACGCGGCGTTTAATTTATATGAGCGAGGGTGTCTTTGTCTTCCGAGGAATTGCTCGTCTTGGTCGCCCCATTGCTTCTCTTGCTCGCCCCATAGCGCCGCTGATTGCATAGTTCCTCGTAAGTAACCTTATGAAGGACGATTCGAAACATGAGGGAGACGTATTCCAGAAGCCATCTCGTGACCAAACTCTCAGAACATTTTTTACGCAGATTTGAGAACATCCTCTTATTAGTTCAGCAAAATTTTCAGATATCTAAATTGTCAATGATAGCTAAGTACTTGTTATAATAAACAATATCAGAAATTGAACACCGTGTTTTGATGGCAGAATAGTATCACCTCATATCTCTTCCGTGGATGTCGTCAGAAGCGAGCAGCATGTCAGAGGCCTGCTACTTGTAGTAGGCGGTTGAAAAACTCTGACACCAGGGTTCATCGGGTCGTTGATCGACTCGGTGTCCCACGCGAAGAGAGAGAGAGAGAGGGATCCTGTTTTTATCTGCACGAATTATAATTATGATGTCTCGCTTAAGTTATCAACAGCTACACTATCACAAACTACTAGGTACTATCTCGACCCTGACACACGGAAGTGGATGATGACGGAACCCGTAATAGGATTAGGGGCCAACAATCGACGGTTCTATGGCGCGTGATAATGACGTCATTAACAGCGAATGGAAGGAGAGACAAGTTATACGGGGTGTTAGGGACGGTGTAACGAAAACTTTGCAGGCGTGCTCAGACCATGAAACTGAACAACTTTTACTATGGAGCCAATGGTGGGAAACGAAAAAAAAATTCCGACCTCCCATACAAAGTCAGTCAGCTGATCGTGAATTTTGTATGGGAGGTCGGAAATTTTTTTTCGTTTCCCACCATTGGCTCCATAGTAAAAGTTGTTCAGTTTGATGGTCTGATCATGCCTGCAAAGTTTTCGGTACACCGTCCCTAACACCCTGTATGCGAGTTCATAAAAATAAAGTACGAAAAGTTAATAAACTGCTAATATTCGTATGACATGATATTACGATACACGCAGCGGGATATCCTCGGTGAGAAACACACGCAACATCCGTTTTTGCGATTTCCCCCCTTACTGAATCTAGTGATATAACTATATCACTAAACTTCTACCGTTTTATAACTATATTCCTAGTGAGATAGTAATGAATTGCTTTCGTATAACTATGTCCCGAGACATAGCTATATCCCTAGGGATATAACTACATCACGGCTATAACTATCTTACTGCGACATATATATCACACCTACTCCTCCTGCGGGGTAGGCAGAGCATAAACGTTTACACCACAAGTGACATAATTTTAAGAGTCATTCAGAAGACTTTGAATCACCATAGCGACAGGTCAGGCTGTCGCCTAAAATTGCAGTACACAATCATCATTAACTCTCAAATCTCCTTGTCGCTTTTTACGACACTCACAGGAAAGATATGGGGTGACGGACGTTATTCTAAGCCGGCACCACACTACTGCACTGAAGTGAATCAGGTTTCCTTAATGCCAAGCAAGATGCAAAGTAGGTCATCATTTCGCAAAGAAATGCTGCTGCCTATTCCCTGAGTCGCCTCCTAGGACTTTCTTGTGCAAAGAAGGGGGAGCTCCTTAAGAAGTCTGTGGTTTCATCACCGTGACCCCTTTTCTCGCATGAGTAGTGGTCATTGTCCATGTACTAATGTCAAATTTATGTGCGTGAGTCTGGAGACGACTGTCAACTGCCTTGGAACGACGCAGTTTCCCGCCCCATGGAACAGCTGATTGCAGGGTAGGTAGGGACGGACATTTAGCGACTAATGTCTTAGTCTTGGTCTTGAGGTGACGACTGTTCTGTCTTGGAACGACGCAGTTTCCCGCCCCATGGAACAGCTGATTGCAGGGTAGGTAGGGACGAACGTTAAGTAACTAAAGTCTTAGTCTTGTTATACCAACTGTATTATATCACATGGCATACATCACGCGATCAAGTAGGCAGAGCGTACATGGCTTTAAAAGACTGTGTATTGCCATAGTGACAGGTTGTCAGCCTGTCGCCTAAAATTGCTATACACAATCATCAACTCTCAAATCCCCTCGTCGCTTCTTATGACAGCCACGGGTAAGATATGGGGTGATGCTATTCTAACCACACGGGAAAGACACTCCTTGATAGTTCTGTTAATATTATTGTAAATACAAGCAAGTGGAAAAAATTCACGCCGCTGGCGGGATTCGAACCCACGTCTTCTGACAAGCCGTGGGTCAGACGTGTTGCCGCTTCACCACGGCAGTCTGCCCGAGGCGGCGAAATTGTGATCCACTTGCTTCGCTCATATAGATTTTATGTTAGTTTCATCAATCCTTTTCTGCATGAGTAGTGGTCAATGTCCATGTCTGCAGTTCTAATGTCCAATTTATGTGCGAGGGTCTAGAGACGACTGTCGACTGTCTTGGAACGACGCAGTTACTCGCCCCATGGAACAGCTGATTGCAGGGTAGGTAAGGACGGACATTAAGCGACTAATGTCTTAGTCTTGGTCTTGTCATGACGACAGGTTCTACTTACTAGGTTCTAGTAAGAGTAAGTCTAGAATAGATACTAACTTAGAAAAGCGCTTTTGGAGGTTTAGCAGAGTCGCTTTTTGCCACAGGCACTTAAACAACTTTTCGTGATTCGGGTTATTTGTGGGACTACTTTCTATATATTGGGTTAAAGTGTTACCTTCACGAAGCAAATAAGTTGTAGTGACACACACTGATGAGGGCTCGCTAATTTTAAGTATCCATATGTAAATTGATGATCACTTAAATGTAAATTAAGCTACTGTCGATTACATTTTATATTCTGTGATTATACCTAATTTATATAATCATTAATCACATAATGTGGTATCGTTTTTCCGCGATAATTACTTCATTCTTACAAAAACAAATTATCCAAAAAGTCTTATTAAAAGAGAGGTAAAGCCAAACACAAAAACAAAAACAAATTATCCAAAAAGTCTTATTAAAAGAGTGGTAAAGCCAAAATAAGCTTATAATTCGTCTGATATTTCGCTATGGAAAGGTCGCTTCCGGTAAAAATACTTAAAAATAAAACAACCCACATTATTTTTACTACATCTACCATACAGCTCGCTCCCTCATATTTTGGTAAACACAATGTTACACATTCTCATCTATAATTTACACCTTTCCATAACATTCTACTGTAATATGCATATGAATTTAACAACGCCCTTCATTTTTGAAACAAACAACTTTCCTCTATATGGGTAAAACCGAGGTAGCACCATCAACACATCAGGTTAGCTCATTTAGGGTATCAACTTATAAAAGTTTTCTATACAGTTACTAAGGAAAACCAGAGTATTTTGGTCTCTTAAGAGTAACTGAAGGTGTTGCTAATAGTACGAAGGGAAATGTATTTACATACTGTTCCGGACGTTGTCTATAATTTACATGTCTTCTTTGATATGCCGTAAAGATAATAGATAAGTAGACCATAATAAAAAGCTTAAGTCACACATTTTTCACTTAGACAAAACGGCTTTCTTGCAGTAACAAAGCTACATTAAACAAAGATTGAATACCTATGTTTATCGTAGTCAACATAAAACGAATTACTTGAATAGGTATACTCAAAATTACATAACACTATACACCAAGAAGAATATTAGGTATGCAGTATTGGATATAGATTTTGACAGCCGATCTGGCGCAGTGGTTAGTATGCCTGCCTGCCACGCAAAGGTTCCGGGTTCAATTTCCGGTAGGGTCACTCACAAAGTTGATATTTATCACTTTATGAATTTGTTCCCAGTCTGGTTAGGATATTGTAGGCTGAACCAATTGATTGTCTGCAAGAAAGATGGTTCCGTGCTTCGGATGGGCACGTTAAGCCGTCGGTCCCGGTTGCTGTCTATGATGGCGGTCGTTACACAACCATGTTAGAGGCCTGCTACTTGCAGTAGGCGGTTGAAACACCCTGACACCAGGGTTCATCGGGTCTTTGAACGACTCGGTGTCCCACACGAAAAGAGAAGAGACCAACAGTTTCGCTCATCCTACCCCAGGTATCATGATCTAGTCAATTATGACTGGCCAGGGAAAGATAGGCAGTAATGGTTACCATGATCGTTAAAGATAATATCAAATACCTTCCCTACACCCCTCGATCCTCACCGTTATTGTTATTTGGAAAATAACTACTTGGTAACGCTATAAGTAGGTAAGGTACCTAGGTGTACATATCTGATGCAGTACAGAGTATTCCCAGCGCCGGAAAACATTTAAGTACATATACATAGTTCTAATTGGGAATTTGAGGCAGTAGAGAGAAAAATGTACTAAATTACCATTATCATTTTTTGGAAAACTTCCAAAATTTCACCGCAGGCAGGATTTGAACCTGCGACCTTCGGCATCAGTACTGCCGACGCCCTAACCAACTGGGCTACCGCGGTTCTAATCGAGCCCGCGAAATTAAGGAAGTATATCTTGTCCACTATCGCATTGATGGGCAGGGCACCATTCTCATATTTATACAGGATCTAAAAAAATACTGCAACCTAAGAAAGTGATTAACATTCTCCTAGGAACATAGAAATATGAAAAAGCAAATAGTTAGACCTCCCATACAAAATATTACATAACATTCAACCTATGTTCCTTAGCAAAAGTGTTTCAGTATCATGGGTTGGTTCACGTCTTTATGTTTGCAGTTACTTATTTTTTACACCATAATGATCCGAAATTTTATGAATTACCTAAGGAAATGGTTGGACTTGCACCAGTCTGTAAGGTGTTTTTATTTTCTTCTGAGAACTTGGCTCCCGTAGAGACACTATCCAAAATAAATAGAGGCAAGAACAATATATGCAGTGGCGCTGAAACTGGTGGTTTATGATAATGTTTTACTCAGTAATGAGCATACTACCCACAAATCAGTTTTATAGGCCGCCATGAATCTTCCTGGCCTACAAACGAACACATAAACCTGAGTAACAATGCGCCAGAGAATAACGTTTTACGTAAACTATAACAGAGGAACATGAATGAAAATATACGCTAAGGAAGTGATGTTGTACGTCTGATGCCGACTTAGAGTAACATCACCTCATTTCTACCCGTGGGTATCGTAATAGGCGACTAAGGGATGAGTCCAGGGAATTGGCAGCAGATTTTCTGTCGAATATCTACAGCACCTTGCATTGCGCCTGCCAAGGCTGGAGAGTATTTCAATACCTCCCATTGGGTGAGGCTATTGTCCAGCAGTGGACGACTCTTGTAGTTGGAGTGGTGGTAGTAGTAGCATAAGAATAAATAATAACACTACCGTGTAGAAATGAAACTCCTTTGTCTGTGCCCCAAAAGCCGCGTTTTAAATACCTACTTCCCCCCTCAGCCCGTAACGCCCCGCGCGCTCCCGCACTTTAAGCCAGGGCTATCACGTGCTAATAGTTTTATTCCAAACTAGCGGCCCGCCAAGCAGTTGCAAGACTTACGGCGTAGTATGTTTACACACCTACGCGCCAGAGAATGAAAAATAGTGCAAAAGCAATTATTTTGAAAGATTTGCGATGAATAGGTAGGTAGGTATAAATTTGTTTGTTACCATAATCAGCTAACAATAACTTTACTACCTAAGGTAGGTAGGTATGTCGGTTTAAAAAATAGGTTAGGTACAGACTTGAGTAAAAACACAAACAGGAGAACGAACACAAAACCAATTACGTATTAAGAATGGTAGGTCGGTACCTATTTACTGTAACATCGTCATCATCAGTTGTTACCTTGGCTCATCTATTGGCAAATTAAAAAAATGAGATGCAGAGTCATCCTCGCATCACTTTTACAGCCATAAGCACCATAGTCATTCGCCAAGGCTAAACTTTTCCGAAAAAACAAAATTTGACCCGCGCGACGAACGCTTACGCGGCGAAGCGCACTCCCGACCGAATTGAACTCTCTACGACTGCCAGACGGTAGGCTAATATAATGACCTTGAGCGCGTCTGGAGCGGGAGTGTCGCCTCTAGGTGTGTTTACTCTTATGGTAGTAATAAGTAGGTCGTATTGTGAGGGTATCTTCCATTTGGTATAAGCATTTGATCAATAAAGTGCGTTGAAAACTAAAAATAAGAATATCAAAACCGGCCAAGAGCGTGTCTGACACGCCCACAAATAGGGTTTCGTAGTCAACGTTTAAATATCAGGTTTTTCAGCATTACAAACTTAATTTTGTTGCTGATTTGTTAGCAGCAGTATAATGACCAACCGCAAATAGAAAAACTCAATTTTTTCTGAAACCTTTAAGGGTACAATATCCGTTATAGTTTTCATTGTAATTTCAAATTGTAAGCTATATTCCATATTTATTTCAAATTTTTAGCGTTTACACTTTAGAAGTTACAGCTGGAACAAATTATGGGTCAAAAACGCCCTTTTTAAAAGCAAATATCTCGTGACAGAAACATTTTAGTGACTTTGTTTCAAAGAAACCTCACCTTAGTTTTAAAAGACCTATTCAACGATACCCTACTCAATAATTACAGAAGAAATAAAAAAATTTTGCCCCCCTTTCACTTGTATGGGAGGGGGTCCAAAAAACATTTAAAATATTTTTTTCTTAACATTTCTATATTTGGGTCAACACGATCTATCTTCTCACCAAATTTCATGTCGATAGCTCTAAAACTGACGAAGATGTGAGGGCGCGGCATACAGACAGACAGACAGACAGACAGACAGACAGACAGACAGACAGACAGACAGACAGACAGACAGACAGACAGACTGACAGACATGACGAAACTATAAGGGTTTCTAGTAGACTACGAAACCCTAAAAAGTATCTATGTACAAACAGGAGAAAATAGCGTCCGCATCCTCAATAATAAGCATTTACAATACGGTCGTTTAAGTAGGCAATATTTGACAGCTGTCAAACCCATACAAGAAGACGTCGACAAAGAAAAATTGACCTTATGTCATAGCATTAACATTAACATGATTTGTCAAATATGGCCTACTAGCTGCCCGTCAGCGGTTTCACCCGCTGCAACCTATTATTCCGCGGGAAAAAAGCATTATTCGCCAAGAGATGTCGCTGTTAGTTTTCGGCGAAAACGTTTAAAACGCGAATCGGCTCAGTCACGCCACCTATTTCAAAAATATTGGAAAATGCGTGATCCCGTGGGAATGCGACATTTTTCCGTGGTAAAATGTATCCTATGTGTCATTCCAGATGCCCTTTTATATTTCTGCAAAGTTTCATGTCAATCTAATCAA